ATGCTAGGCTACAATGAGAAGGAAGGAAAACTGCGTTTCTTTTTCGAACTTTTATCAACGCTCTTTTTTTTCTATTGCGCCACACGTCTATCGATCGATATATATCGGTATTGAATTATCGCCCAGCCCTAATTTAGACCCCACTGATTTGTAATTGATTACCCGTAGTCTAAACTTTTCTATAAAATTGAATTCCTTAAACATCTAACGTTGTGTGAACCTTACTGTCAACCCTATGAACTCTGTTATAATCTCTTTTTAAAGACAGAATTAAAGCACATTTACCTATATCCAGTATCAGATGCTGGAGGTTTTTATGTTTTCTAAGGCAATTTCATTTTTATATTTAACATATTCTGGCTTTGGTTCTAGGCTGAGTGCTGCAGGATGGCATCCTGACTGAGTTTATAGCCTTAGCATAGTTTACGGCAAGTAACTTTTGAGATGGGCTCAGTATCTGTAGTCGTTCAGCACCAATGGATCTGTTTTGAAAATGGCTGTGGAATAGCTGACAACAAAAAAAACTGTCTAGGTGGATTAAAGTTCTGGAAAAGTTAGTCTGGTCTTATTGTTGAAAATCTCTGTACTTTTTAAAATTCAAATTATGATGAGGCTTTGGATTTTATAGTAGCAGCAGGTAGGCTTGGGTTACAAAAGTTTAATTTGGCTACTTTAATCTTTGTAATATGATCATATTTCCTGCTATCTACTTTCCATTGCTGCAGTCCGATTGAACTGCTGACATCTTCTAGAAAATAGTTTCCTTTTAAACTGTTCCTTACGTCTCTGTTACCTTTGACTTTATTAATAAACACCTTCAAATCAGCTAACATTGAATCTGCTTCAGTCAGTAACAGCAGCCACAAGAAAAGTATTATTAAAGTGTGTTAGTGCTTAGATAAGTCATTATTCAGTTACATCCCTAATACTAAAGTTGCACATTTTTTCATACCTGTGCATCTCTCTGTGATGAAATTATACTGCAGGACTTTAGAGCCCATCTAAATGTGGCCTAACGCCATCTGAGAGCACTCTGTTCAGACAGAAAGATAACGGTGCTGAATTTTTTATTTTCTTCCCAATCCTTTCCTTCCAACAGGTCTTGATAATGAGGGTGGCTGTGTTGATATTCTTGTAAAATAATCCTGCTATGGGTGGTGTGCAAATCAGGGAAAGCAACATGTAGGATTGTTCTTGCCCCATGACCATGTGTGTGTTGCTCCCAGAGAGTAGACAAGGATGCAACCAGTTAGATAGGATGTGTAGTCAATCGGTCTCACCTGAGACACCGTTTATATTGTCTCTACTCCTTTAATTCAATTCACTTTATTTATATAGCACCAATTCACAACACTTGTCATTCCAAGGCACTTTACAGTTCAACCAGATCATCCACTCAGATTGATTCAAAGTTTTCTATCTAAGGAAAACCAGTTGATTGCATCGACTCATTGATTCGAATACAATCCCTCACACTAAGCATGCTTGTAGTGACAGTAGAGAGGAAAAACTCCCTTTTAACAGGAAGAAATCTCAAGCATAACCAGGCTCGGTGTGAGCGGCCATCTGCTGAGGCCGACTGGGGTTCAAGGAGACGGAAGCAGAGATACGAAAAGCAGCTGTAAATGGAGGCACACGGCCAGGCAGACGAGCTTCAAGCCAGCTCTCATGCCAGAGGATGAAGAGAGCACATCCAGGCAGTCACAGTCAGAGAAACAGGACTACACTGGAAAACAGGCCGATCTCCAACATTTATAAACAAAGGTGTCGATGGCAGCAGCACAGCTGATATTTCTCTCCAGGATGGAGTCACAGCCAAACAGGAACAGACCAGATGAAGCTACTCTGAGAAAAAGCAGAGAGAGCAGAACGTTAGAGATTCTGCAGAGTAGGAGAATAGAGATAGTTAAGGTCTAAATCAGGGGGTCTTTAACTAATGTCTTTTCCTACTGTCATCAAAATGGGTCCAACAAGTATCTCCACTGCTTCTCCTTCGTTAGTCACGTCTATCTGCTCTGAACTCTGTTCTTGTTCTCGAGAACTTTGCACAATGTTCTTTCTGTCTGACGTTGGAGTTTTCCTGAATAGGTTTCTTGTCCTCAGCATGTAGCTTTACATTACACACTGTAGGAGAACATTGATTGATTCCTCTCGGTTTGCATAATATAAATGACATGGTAGTAACAAATGTTAAGTCTGTTTAAACAAAATACATTTTTTAACAAATGAATCTGCCTTGTGTTATGACATATTTCAAAACATGGGCCAGCTGATGCATTGGTCTGTGTCTACTAAAGCAGGCCTTAGATGTGGAGTGAAGTTTCAACCATTATTATTGAAAGTTTAAAATTTGATTCAGTTGGAAAAAAGGAGTTTATTGTAGCTTTATTCTTATTGGTTGTAAGACTGGCATTTCTTTCAATTGTCAGTTTTCTCTTGTATCAGGAATATTTTTCCATAACATGGACTATATATATAATTTTTTTACACTGTTAAGTAAAAATAACCCCCCAAAAACCTACTTTATATTTTAACACTTTAAAATGGCTCGATGTAATCAGCGGGTTTTCCTCAGAAAACTTAAATCTCTGTATGATCTGATTGAATTCATGTCTTGTGAATTTGCCCTATAAAACTGAATTGAATATATTTGCTGGCTGTATAAAATCTAGACTGAATAAACTAGGAATGTGTTCTTAGCCGTTATTCAACTTTAATAAATTTATAAAGTGTAACAGGAAAAAACGGAGCCATTAAGTTACTGAATAAAAAAAAGTGAATAAATGTATAGAGATGTAGAAGTATCATTTAAACTGCTAGGCTAACGTTCACACTGCAGCCTGAAGGGACACAAATCCTATTTATTTTGCCCATGTACGATCTGTATCTGATCTTTTCATGGCAGCCGAAACAACACAGATGTGATTTTCTCCAATGCGACCCAGGCCACTCAGCTGTGTGGTCCTGAATCCGATGTAAATCTTTTTCAAATGTGAACGAACAGTTGCATTCAGCCGACCTGAACGTCGTCAATACTCAACAAAGGTCGCTATTCTACGTTTTGCTCCGTAGAAGCAAGAGAAAAAAAAACAACCATGGCTGACAATGAAGCATAGAGCTGCCGATTTTTTTTGGTTTTTTTTTACCATCTTGAAAAGATTTAGTTTTTAAGGTTGGGAAAGATCGTTAGAAAAACTCCAGCACTACCAACCATGCTTACTTCTGTAAACACAGAGCACGATTGTGATGCGCATGTTGTTCACTTAAACTGTATGAATGCAGTTCACACAGGACATCGCTTACAAGTCGTAAATATTTGGTAATTTGAACATCAACGCAAAAAAAAAAAGGAATTGGGCATCAAGAGCTGCAGTGTGAACGTAGCCTTAGACAATTTTAGCGTGCTATGTGAGTGCTAACTGTGTAATAGGTATTTGTTTATAGTGATGCTCTCAGACGGATGTTATGCTACGTTCACACCGGACGCAGCAGGAGCAGCAAAATCGCGTCTGCTGCTGTTAATTTAGACGTTAAACTGTTTCAGAGGAGTGATCATAGCACTCTGTATCATGAGCGATCTGTCTGTCTCTCTGCCAGCTCCCAGATCAGCTTCTCTGATTGGTATAAGCTGCGCGTCGAGCAGCAAAAGTTCAATTTTTCCATCTCGAGCAGTGGCGCGTGGCTCGCGTCAGATGCTTGAACACTCCCGACGCACTGCTTCAGCTGCTCAGACGTGCTGCGGGACCTTTTGCTGCGCCTTGACGCACGTCAACCATTGACTTTGCATGTGAACTCGCTGCGCCTGCCGGTGTGAACGCAGCATTAAAACTTTGCTCCATAAACTGCTTTAACTCATTAATGCCTTCACCTTCTACTGTGCTAATTGCTAGCATGTCTTTTTCTATCCTTACCTTGAGAGCACAGCAGGGAAATTACGCCGCTTCTCCATGCAGCGCAGCTAAATGAGCATTATTTAGGCGATAATTTACAAAGTTTATAGTGTTTACTAACAGAACCACATAAAGTTAATTCTATACGTATGCCATTAGATGCTGTAAATATTCTTGGACGGATCTCCTTCCATTCATGCTTCCACTGTAATATTTTTTTGTTGCAAATAAGCATTGTGTGGACGGCGGTAACATTACAACACTGAAAGGAACTCCCTTTAATACAGTGGAACAAATTGTTACCTTATAAACCAGTAATCAACAATAAGTCGATTATTTATCCGTTTTCGTCTCTATACGCTTTACACTTTCATTTAATCTGATAATTCATGAAGTTTTTTTTTTTTTCTTACAGGACCCAGTTATTCTCCACAAGAGAATTCCCACAACCACAGTTCCCTCCATAGCTCCAACTCTCATTCTAACCCCCACAAGACCTCAGACACGGTACGTATTGTTTCTGCTAAAGCTTTGAAGCTAATGCTGTCATAGTCCAGGATTTGGGGCAGTAAACACTTCTACTGCAGAGTTTTATACAAATATTTCCCTTTCAGCAGTTTGCAGTAATATAAGACGCATTTGAATTAATTCTATCAACCTCATAAAAAATAAAAAAACTCTCAGTGGCGTCTTTATTGGTTGGACATGTTTGCTTGTACTAACTTCCCTGCTGGAAAACATGATGAACAGCAGTAACAGAAACTTTTTTTGTGAATCTGTATCACAAGTTCTTCAGCATCTAAAATTAATTTCTAAGCTCACAGCCCAACCAGAGCCCACTGCTTTTATCCATGCATCTGTGTGCATTTCACATCGGATTACAACCTCTTGCATCAGGCTCTCAACATGAGCGCTTGTCTTTTATTATTACTGGTACCCTACACTGCTAACTGCGTTTCTCACCTCAGCCTTACGAGCCTGGAGACGACTGGTCCGAGCACATCAGCTCCTCTGGGAAGAAATACTACTACAACTGCAGGACAGAGGTGTCCCAGTGGGAGAAGCCCAAAGAATGGCTGGAGAGGTAATGCTGGACTTTATAGATTTGATTTGGCGCACAACTGTTAAGACACGGAGGGCTCACAGGAGTTGTTTTGCATTTGGCAGAGAACAGAGGCAAAAGGAGGCGACAAAGACCGCTGTTGTCAACAGTTTCCCCAAAGACAGGGACTACAGAAGGGAGGCCATGCAAGCAACAGCAGCCCCAGGCTTTGCTGGATCTAGTAAGTGTTACATATAAGCTCCACAGTGACGAGCTGCGGGCTTTCATCTCTTTCTCTGGCTCACAGATGCTCTGTTCGTTTGGTCTTTTGTTGAAGATGGTTAGCTTTGGAAGCTCAAAGGATGACATGTTCTAATCGGGACAACAGACAGACTGTGAGGCTTTTCTAAAGTCACAATAGCTGTGAGCGAACACATCCCAGCCCTGGCCCTGCTTTATCCAACTCACATCTTTAGGGTTTAAAGTTGGAAGAGGTGAAGGTGTGACTTGGAACCAAGCTGCTAGCTTTATCTTAGAGGTTTAGCTTCTGCTTTAATGGCTGTTTGGGTTAGATGTTTCCCTTTGGGTAGAGGCTGATTTTTGATTTAAACAGGGTAACTGGTTTTTAGATTTGATCTTTAAACTTATAAATCTGAGGCGATTTTCCACTGAGGGCATTTTTCCCCATTTGAGAGTGGTAGTTTCCTTGCCTTTTGAACCTAGAAGATGAATAAGGTTAATATAGTTGACTAAATGATGAAAAATGGAAAAACAACAATTTTATTTGTTAACTAAAAAACTAAAACTTACTGAAATATATGTACTTATTCGTTTTTTTGGACGTCATCCGCTCGCGCCGGCTACCGTTGATTCATCCCGTCCTCTGAACTGCTGCTAGTTTTCCTCACATGCCTGGAAGATGTCTAGTGCTGCGACCACAGATGATCTCGCTCTTCAAATGGAATTGAACGATTCAGATTAGCTAGAATGAATATAAGGGGTGGAGCGTAGCCTCCTGTGGCCCGGGCTGCCTGTCACAACTCCAGTCCGCATGCGGATGACGTCATACACACTCCGCTTTGTTTTAAAAAATATAAATATAAAAAATATAACCACGGATGTCTGGGGGGACAGTGATTGGCCTACATGTTATGAATGCTGGCGTACCATAAAGAATACATTATGAACAGTTTAGTTTGTGCCTTCAAGTCGTTGCTCATAGGAAGACGTTACTTGGATATAACCTTTAAAATAAGAATTTGGTAGAAAAGGCATATAAAGAATAAAAACAAACACCAAGTTGGGGGAGTGGGGCCTATTGGTTCGGGCATAGAGCCCTGAGGTTATGAGATTGAGCCCCACTGCCACTCTGGATCCCTGAGCAAGACCCTTAACCCCACAGCCCACAGCTCCCCAAGGGGATGGGTTAAATGCAGAGATAAATTTCTCCAATGTGAGATCAATAAAGTTCAATTTTATTTATTTTTTTAATGGAATAAAATGAGAAATTGGTGATGTATTAAAACGTACACAGAACCAAACCCTCACTGTTACTGAGAGACTGTTATCGTATAACAAGCCCAGTAGGTTATCTGTCTGCAAATTCTTACTCACCGTCCCGCCACTGGTGTTATGAGTGGACATGATGAGCTGCGATGTTCTGAACT